CTTTGTAGGTGCCAATCAAATGGGAGTTATTATTACCAAGAAACTTTTCCAATATCACTCACACATGAGTAAGAAGCAGAGCTAGCATTTGAACCCAGGACTTTCTGTTTTCAAACCTGTGATCTACAGAGGCCACTCTGCACTCTGGAGATGCTTGCTTTCAGAGGTGATCAGGGATGAAGCAGACACAGCTGGACAAACAAGAGCAGGACCAATAATGACAAACAGTGGTCACCTCCAAAGGGGTGTTGGGCTCTCTGTGGAAAATGTTTAGCTATGTGGTTGTCACTGTGCCCCTTCAACAGCCCGAGAGGCAACGAGTGATCGGTGGGGAAGAACATCTAGGACAGTAGTCTGAGACATCCCAGATTCCGTTTCAAAACTCAATACCTTGAATAAAAAATATATCTACCTGTGTCTTTGATCATCCATACCCAGAGAAACTCTATCTCAAATAGACAACAGATAGGTGATTGATCAGTTCAGCTGTGCGAGAACATCAAGACCCAATCAGTGTCTCTTCTAAGAGTAGCCCTCCAGCTTTTAGAATGCACACTAGTATTGAGAAGCAATATGGCAGAGTTGTTAAGGGACTGTATCCAGGTACATCCTACCTTTATGACCTCTTCGGAGTTACTTAACATTTTTCTGCCTCAATTTCCTTATCTAGGGCCAGCCCAGGTCATTGCACAATCACCGACAACTTTAGCCACCACCTGCACCCCAACTCACGTAAAGCATGGACTGTGCAGTCATTGCCCACTGTCCAATAACTCGAGCTATAATCTGACTAACATGTACACTGGAAAGTTTAGCAGAAAAAATGAAGGAGCATAAAGCCATCACAAAGCCCACACACGTTGCTCCACCGAAGAAGGGCGTCCTCTCTTCGAGTCCCCACACACGCGCACGCACGCGCACATACATGCACAGTGAGCAGAAAAAGGATAGCACACAGACAGCAGGAAGAAATTTCATCCGATTTCAAGTAGAGGGAGAGGAAAGAACGAGACAAATTAGCAAGAATTATTACATTTTTAGCCCCTTCATCCTAAAAGTGTTTGAAGCATCATTTCAGTTAGTCTTTACAACAATCTTGTGAGTACAGTTTAGGATTTCCATTTTAAAGATGAGGACATTAAAGTGCAGAAAGTTTAGGTAACTTGGTCAAGGTCATCCAGCTAATAAAGGCATAACAAGGCTTTGAAATAACGGGGCAGGACGCTGAGGCCAGGTCCCTTCTTTCTACCTGCCTCAAGCAAGAGAAACCAGATTTCAAATTTGTCCATCCCTTCAGGGACTGGGGAGAGAAAAGAAGGAGGGGGAGAGGCGTGCTCTGTTCTTAGGTAGACACTGGCCTGGAGAGGGAGTCGAGTATCCCAGGTTTGTCTGATTCTGCTGGAACAAGTCCCTTCCCTACAGTTTGTCTCTTCCTCTCTGCAGGACTAGGGGTTGGGTAGAGGCTCTGTGATGCTAGGACTTCTGTGCTCTCACCTTCCCGTATCCATGCTTGCAAGCTTCACTTCTGCCTGCTGGGCCAAAGTGGTCAGGAGGCTAATAAACACCAGAGATCCAGTGTTTCTTCCTCCTTTTCCTCCTCTTTTTCAGATGGAGGACCCTATGTAATAGAGATTTTTTTATTTAAACATCATGATGTGAAATGGGCAGCCAGCACTCTCGTCTCCCTAGCTCCTCACAGTGATCAGTTGGAGAGTGAAAGTAAAACTTTCAATACTGCTAATTCTGGATGTTACCATATTTTATATATGGGCTCCTATGGTAAAATGACTGAAATTCCAATTCTGCATGACATTCTCTGCATGCTCTGGACCCTGGGGGAAGGAGTGACCTAATTTGGGAAGAGCCTGATCACCGATTAGGCTCAGGGCTGCAGTCCTCCCTCGCTGTGAGTGACTGGTGGACCAGAGGCATGCTCAGAGCTAATGCAGGATCCACAGCTGGTCCAAAGGAGAGCCGGGTTTTGACCTGGGAAGAGCAACCTCTTCCTGTGTCCTAAGGAGGGGCTCCTGTGAAAGGCTGAGAAATCCTGGGAGGTGTACTTCCCATCATAAGACACCCAGTTTTCCATTTTTTTATGTGGGGAGTTTGTGGGGTCAGATTATCAGCTAACCCAACCCCAATAGTGAACAGAGCTTCTCTGAAGGGGAGAACAGACTTCACACCAACCACTGAGTGAGCTTCAGATAAACAAACATGGAGAACAATGTTGGAGGTCAAGGGAAAGTTCCAGAGTCAGGAGCCAGAGAAGCCTTGGGTGGAGTGAAGGAAGCACAGGTTGAGGCAGACAGAAGAGTCCAGGATGGCATACCATGTGACAAGGATATTCTTTTGCATCCAGGGCCAAGGCCCAGGGAGGGCATAGAGTATCCCAGTTTCAGATCTGGGTTCAGATCCTCCAGGGCCTGGGACAAGCTGGGTGGCACCATAGAACAGAGGAACAGGAAGTAGGTTCCTTGGGGCTGAGAATCCTACCAGATGCAGCAGCAAGTTCTGCCTGAAGATCCCCCCACCAGGGGCCCCTGAGAGAGGGTTCGAGGTAATAGAGGCACCCGGCCCAAGCCCAGAGGGGAGCTAACGTGAAGTGAGAGGCTTGGAGCTCAGCTGTGGTCGTGGAGCTGGTACCCGCCCAGAGGGAGGTGGGTTGTTAACTACTGACAACGAAGCAGATGGGTGGGAAAGGCAGTTTATTCCTCTTCTCAGCTCATCCCAAAAGATGAGGAATTTCTCAGAAATCTCTTGACCTTTTTTTACAAATAATACCATTCATTCAGTCAGTCAGTTATTCTATAATGGCCAGCTCACCGAGCAGCTACTGCACATCAGGCACCATGTTAGGATGGATGTGGACCAATGGCTAGGGGGACGCAGTGGGAGGCTGTTCCAGGACTCAGTTCATGAGAGGTGACCCAGCTGTGGAGCCACAGGTGCTCCACAAATGTTCAGGTGTGTGTTTGGGGGCAGAGACGGGGAATGAGGAGGAACTATCTACACACCTGGGTTTTAAGGATGATTTGGATTTTCCAAAGGCCACACCTAGTGACAGATTGTGTTTTGAGGACAGCTCTGAACCAGTGACTTCAGTTTCATGTTATGTGGATCAGAGGAAATTGCTGGTGTAAGGACTCAGGGAATCCCTGTTCTTATGTTCCCAGAAAAGAGAAGCCCATGACAAGGAGAATCTTCATGGAGGGAGGCATGCCGAGGCAGGTGTTCAGAGGCTGCTCACCTTCTGCCATCATCAATGTCATCGCTGGTCAGGGTACCCAGGCTCTGTCACTATGCCATCCTGGAAGCTCCTCCAGAGTTAAAGTAACTCTGGTTCAAAGCAGGCATTTTAGCATTTTAGACTTTCCTTTCCTATCTCAGACCCTGGTCCACTGAGTGATGATAAGCTGAACGAGTCCCTTATTTCCACCTATGTTAATTCATGCCCACTTCTATTTTTAGCAGAGCTAGAAAGACCTTCTGTTTATCCCCAGAGCCATTAAGCGGCTTTATTCCTACTTAAATTATTTTCATCTTAGTGAAGATTAAAGGCTTACCCAAAAGGAAAAACTCTTTTCTCTCTTCTCACGTGGCCACTTATACAAAGCTTTCTCAAGACTAAGAGTGGACCCAGCTCCAAGCCAGGAAGTTTAAGCTCCCTCTTTCTACCTTTAATCATTTTTCTGCCCGTACTTAATTTCCTCTAGAGGCATTAGGAGTAAAGCAGGGTTAAGACAAAAGAAAACATAGAATTTCTGAGAATTCCTTGTCTCAGGTAGAATTCCTTGTCTCAAGGAGTTTGTTGTTTAATCTTGGGTGAGTTATTTCACCTCTTGTGGCCTCCGATTCCCCAAGCATCACTTGAGGAGTATGGACTGAAGGTTCTCTGAGATCCATTAAACTAGTTGCTCTAAACTAAGCTGTGTCTTGCCCTAGAGAGTTCCCAGCCTGTTGAGAGGAAGTGGTCTATGTATACAGATAGCTCCTGGAATGAGACATGCCTGGCATATATTAGGGTCTCTGTTAATATCGGTTGAATTGAATGAATAAGGAAATAAATATTACCATGGGAACACTGTTGTTTTGAGCAGGCACACTCTGATGCTCAGAAAGCCCCCAGGAGATACAGAGCCAGACAGATGGGGAAAACACAGAGGCCAGCAAGATCTCCAGGGTCTGGAGTTGGAAGAGGAGGGGGAGGAGTCACCACTGAGGGTTCCATGGATGGGCTTAGGGTGAAGGTAGTTAGAAAAAGCTTTCAGGTTTTCAGGTTGGGGGTGATACATGGTTGGATTAGGAATTAGGAAGGGCCATGGCAGGAAGGCTGGGTGGAGTGTAGGGAAAAGTTTATTCTAGAAGAGGAATTAGCCCTTGAAAATCTCTGAAGTAGGAGAGGAGTGAAGGTGTGGTTGGTGAAAGCAAAGCAGGTTTACCCAGATTAGCAACCAGTCAGTGAGAGGTGGGGTTGGGGGCATGATAATTAAGTAGTTCAATTGAGTTAGGAGAAAGATGGGGAAAATGGACAAGGAGTCTCTAATCAGTCAATTCCATGATCTCTAGCATCTACTTTTATGAGGCAGACGACTCATGCCCATCTCAGCTCCTCTGCTCCCCTCCCCTTCCCACTGTTTTATGTGCCCCAATGTTTTCCATCCTACAGAACATGAGGAACAACCACCTCCAGCAAAAACAGAGCAGGAAGGTGGCAAGACCACAAAAGGACTCAGATCTCCCTCCAGGGTTAATTCCTTAAAAAACCTCCAGGAAGCCTGTGGCTCACTCCTCCCCTACACCAGCCCTACACCTGGGTCTAAGCATGAGGGTGGCAGTGGAAATTAGGCCCAGGTGACATCATTATCAGACAGCCAGTGCCAAAAATGTATCGTGTGGGTGGTTTTCATCACAAAAGCCGAGCCAAGTGGTAATTGAGGGGAGTGGGGTGAATCATGTTTGACAGGTGAGGAATGAAAACATAGGGGCCTGAGGTGATTCTATTTCCTTGAGGCAGGGCTTATTTATCGTATAAAAAGCCAGCTCGCAGTTGACTTTACACCAGACAGGAGTGACCAGACAACCCATTCTTCTCTGTGTACCAGGTGAGTCTCTGATTGGAACGAATGTGAAATTCTTATTTATTTTTTCATTATTAGAAATGGGACAAAGGTAAACGTGTAAGAAAATGCAGAGTATTCATTAGAGAGAGAGAATATTGTGAGATCCTTGTTTTAAATTCAAGCACAGTTTGGGTTTGAAGGGACCTTAGAGGTGGTTCAGTCAGCCACCTCAGTAAATAGCTATGGAACTGGAAGTCGGGGAAGAGGACGGATCTGTGCAGGTTCCCACAGGAAGTTAACAGTAGGTTTACTGCTAGAACTCAGGCCCAGGGCACTCAGCAGCACCATTATTCCCTCTGCTTACGATGCTTACTATAAAAATTCTAATTCATAAGATGGACCTTTTATTTATTTATTATAAATAAGCATTTATTATATTTAAGGCACTATGCTAGGCACTTTGGATAAATCAGACTGATACGGAACTTACTCAACAAACTTACAGCCTAGCAGGAAAGAGAACACAGGTACATAAATAGATGAAACACAAAGTAGATGGAGATTGGTGTGAGGAGGCTGGGGCAGAGAAAGGCTGTGACAGCTGGGGGAGCCTTGCTCAAGAGGAGCTCCAGTGATGGCACATGACGTGAGCCATGATGGAGGAGTATTTGGACAAGCAGAGATGAGGAGGAAAGCTCGTCACAGGGGACTGTGTAAGTGAAGGCCAGAGTGAAGTCTTAGAAGCTAAGATTCATATAGAATCATCCTATAAGTCATGAGGTGTTCTGTGTGGTAGTAAGAGTGGGTAGACTGCAGCTGTTTTTAAGATAGCACTTTCCAAAAGACCTGATAAGTGTTCTTGGGTACTTGCCAATGAGGGATAGGACATGTCTGGGGAAGAAAGGGAGCCAAGGAATGAACCCCACTGAAATGGAGCAGAACCAGCTCCTTTAAGCTCCTTCTCTTGAAAGAGCCCAGAAATTATCAAAGCATATTTTCCTCTCAAGTGTAGGAGGATAGCCAGGGGGAGAGGAGAGGCTCTCTTCTAAAGGGGCCTAACAAGAAACCTATTTGGCATTGAATGTGCCTTCTTTCCTAGTTAACTCATGTTTAAATCACCTGTTCTGTCTCCAGGTCCAGCCTCCTTTGAAGCATGAGTTCTCAGCAGCAGAAGCAGCCCTGCACCCCACCCCCCCCGCTTCAGCAGCATCAGGTGAAACAGCCCTGCCAGCCTCCACCCCAGGAACCATGTGCACCCAAAACCAAGGAGCCGTGCCACCCCAAGGTGCCGGAGCCCTGCCACCCCAAGGTGCCGGAGCCATGCCACCCCAAGGTTCCGGAGCCATGCCACCCCAAAGTTCCAGAGCCATGTCCCTCAAAGGTCATTCCAGAGCCAGCTCAGCAGAAGACCAAACAGAAGTAATGTGGTCCACAACCAAACCCTTGAGGAGCCGTCCACAGGATGCTGAATCCCCTCTCCCACTCTGCTCACGCATCCTGCTTACAGTTAGCATGCTGTCAGCCTTAGTCATAACCCCTCCCTCTAAATGGCTATGCACCCTCTAAAAAGACGTCTCTCACACTCACTCTGGATGGCTGCTGAGCCTCTGAATGAGGCTGAAAGTCTCACTGGCTGAGCTAGTTTTCTAGCTGCTCAGGGATCATTGAAGAGGGATTTTGGGGGGATCAAGTGAATCTTCCCTGCTCTATCCCCATTAAATCACTTTTAACTCCATCACTGGCTGTGTGTGTCATTGGCCAACTCAGTGTTCTCTGTTGTTCTCTCAATGTGAAACAGGGGCTGCACACAGCGAGGGCTACTCGTGCAGGCTGTCGTCAGAAAGCGCTGATCCAGACACTGCGAACGTGTGTGTGTGTGTGTGTGTGTGTGTGTGTGTGTGTGTGTGTGACTGCTGTACTCACAGGACATTCCTGGGCTGGCACTGGGAGAACAGTTAAGACCACCCAGAGCCTGCTACTTCAGGCAGCCTCAGCCAGAGCAGGGCTTTCTTCTTGCCTCTGAGTGAGTCACACCTGAGTGTAGATGGCGCCTGCTTCAAGCCGTCTCCGACTCTGAGTCTTTGCCCCCAAATCACCCTTATTCTGTTTAGTTTATTCCTTTATTATTGTTATTATTTTTCCAAAGAAATAGTGCTTATACATATTTCAACATGATTGTCTGTTCTTTACTCATCCTTTCTTCCCAATGCCCCTGTAGGGGGAAGAGGGAGAATCTCCCTCTGCCCTTTCCCTTAAGGTTCTTCTGGCTGGCCAAATAATCAACAAGACAGGTTAGCAGGAGAAAATAATACCAAGTTTAATAACATGTATACATGGGAGAAA